ATGATTTCCTATTGCCAGCTCCTTCATGAGGTCTTTATTTTGGCAGCTCTAACTCCTCCTAACATGAGTGTCATTAATATAGTAATATAACATTAATTACAAGTGGAATAGTGTGAAATAACACAAATATTTCAGTAAAGACTAAGAATATTACCTTCACACATGTCAGTTAAATGTGCAATCTCATGAATAACAAAAGTAGGTTTCTTACATTGTTTTCCTTAAAACTGTATCAATTAGCAATAACCGAATTCAATAATTTTTCTTCTCTGAAACTCGTGAGTTTTTTCACTCACAATGTCTGTTGTCATTGTAACTGTAGTCAATATTTTCTAGGTCAACCCACTTGCCATTTTTAAACATGACTGTGACACTAGCACATATTTGCACTTTCCCAGACAATTTGTGATTCATTAGAAAATTAACACCAGTGGTCCAACAAGTTCCTTAACAAATGTTTTGTGGCTCCTAGGCACACTTTCTCATGGCCTACTATTTATTAATATTGCCTAAATACTCCATAGTAGTTCTTTATCCCATGGGATACAAATGAGAAAGACATACACTTCAGTCTGCATCGTGGATAGGAGTCAGGAGGTTGGCCAGCTAGATGCCAGTGTGGGGAATTAGACTCAAGAGCTGTTTTTTTTATTGGTTTGTGTATTTGTTTTATATCTGAAGTTGACTTTCTGCGGAGTTTCATGGAAAGAATGCAGAAGCCTAGAGATATTTTAAACTGGCTTGCACTATTTTTGAGTAAGTCAGAAAATGCTTTAATAGCTCAAAATGGAAGGGAAAGTCTTCGTGTATCTAAACCAGAGCCTCCAGTAAACTGTTAGCTTCTGTGGCTGCTAAGGTCTTTTCTAGGGCTGCACCAGTTCCAATGTCTAAGTGGAAGATCCCAGAATTCATGTTTACTTCAGTCCTGCCCCTTGTGACAGTATTTTAAAGACTGTCCATGGGCTCATTCCTAAAAAAAATAAAAAGTAGAGTGATCGGGGAACAAAATTGATAGCCAATTCTTTTAGTTGACTAGGATTTGTGAAGTGCCAGGATTCAGAATATCCAACTGGAGTAACCAGTCTGGGCTTTCTTGCAGTTTTGAGAGAATAAGCTCGTTTCAGGTCATGAAGGCATTTTGCTGAGGAAATACCAAATACTTTGTTGAAAGACACTTGGCCTTCTATCCCCAGGAAGTGACCGTAGCTCTAGATCACAGAATATAGGTCTATCAGGGAGTTTCCTGTCCTTATGAAATCTCATCAAGTTTTGCCTATTAGGTTGTGGGTTTTTTTCTGGTTTTCTAAGAAAATGAGGTTTCTACAACCATGTACTCTCTCAACCTTCCCTTCCACTCCTGACTCAGGCTGCCTCATACTTTTTGAACCATTGGCCGATTCCACACTAAGTCCTGGGAGTCTGCAGTTTCATGAAAACTAGTGGCTAAATAAGGAAAATAACCCAACCTATGTCATTTCCCCTTCACTCCTCCACTGAGGGCAGAATACCACTATTGCATCTGTTGGTAGCAACAAGCCCAGCAATCCTCATGTACTTTGTATGTGCAGTTTCAGTGTAGTTGCTGGGGAGTATGAAGTGGAAGGAAATGGGATACTGATTATTGCTGCAGGGGGTTGGAAATCAGGTGAAAAAGGATGCAGCCCTTGAAAAAATATATTTCCGTCATCCTCCTTCTCACAAAGTAACTTCATTAAAATTCAACACATATAAATATTCTTTTGGAATGAGTAAGACTGACGTTATTTCACGAGGACTCTTCTTCCAGTTGAATAAGCCAAATGCAGCTTTGATCAGCCCCCTGCCATGCGGCCTGGTCAGGGCTAGAATCTAAAGCCAAAACTAACAGAGCATTGAATGCACATGGCAAGTTGAGAGTTGTCATAAGAAAACCCTAGGATTTGCTTCTAAATTTTTGTCTAGGTGTAGGGAATGACTTGTTGTTAGGGTGGGATGTTTCTGTTTGTATATGCTGCATAAGGAAGGTTTTCTCATAAGGTGCTAACTTATATTGCTCCAGTGTCCTGTATGGGCAGCACTGCACAGCATGAGTGGTGAGGAATGACCCTGTGTCACTTTAGTCTTCAATGAGCTGGTTAGGATGCAAGTGAGGAAGGGCTTTAGAGCAGGTAGAAACTCCAGCAAAACTCAAGTAAATGATGCTTTATTCCAATCCCTTAACGATCCAGCTATCCTTACAAGGCAGACCTCTTCCCTGCAGTAAGGTGACCAGAGATCTCCTTCGTATCTATGTGTCTTTGTTCCATACTTTGTTCTTTTGCAATAGCAATATTCTTTGCAATATTTTTAGGTTCTAATGCGTGATCTTTTCTAATCATGTTATATAGATTTATACAAATTCTTAGACTTGAAGTTATCTTTGGCTTGCTCTCCAGTTGTCTCTGTAAACATCAGAGACACATGAATTTATATTTGCAAGATGCCTGCAAGAATACTTTTTTAGTGTCCCTCCTCCACTTGGAATGGAACTGCAGCTCGTGACATTTTTGGCTCAGACTGACTCATGGAGATGAGTTGCCTCAAGGAAGGCACGTGGCTTTTCTTTTCACCCTGTGGTTGGCCAAGCACAGCACATGTGAGTGAGGGGTCAGTTCTCTTCTGAGATAGTTTTCAGATTATTTCTCAGGGGGAACTTTGTCATTATTTAGAGCTTCTTCATTTTATGGAAGATGAGGAGGAGGGAAAAAAAAATCATTTTCTTCCACCCTTGTGTATGTCCGGCAAACCAAATTTGCTGAGAACCACTTGAATTTGATTTGTCTGGAATAATAGCATCCAGTTTTACGAGGGAAAATCTGAATGCCAAAAGCATAATTGCTGTGGCAGAACTGAGGTCTGGTCTCCAAGGAGAGCCAGTAAACTCTCAAAGTTCTGATCACAGAGGGGTGTTTTTTTCAAGGACATTTCAAGGTCCTTTTCAAGGACCAGTGTCATCTGTGCCTGCGCCATGTTCCACATCACAAAGGGTATATTTGGCAGAGAGCCTGGGATCAGGCACTCTGGAAGAAACAAGGCAGTCTCCAGTTAACATAGAGACAAAGGTGGCAAATAGCAAGAGATGATGGGAAATTTCCTTACATCTCAGGATGCAGGAGAAATGTCTAAAAAATATAATCTGTCCAATATTGCCATTAATTAGGAGAGACTGAGAAAGGTAAACAGAGGAGGGGGGGACCCCTCTATTTCCCTCTGGTGGGACCCCACCTGGAGTACTGCATCCAGCTCTGGAGTCCTCAGCACAGGAAGGACACGGACCTGTTGGAGTGGGTCCAGAGGAGGGACACAAAGATGATCAGAGGGATGGAGCACCTCTGCTATGAAGACAGGCTGAGACACTTTGGTTGTTCAGCCTGGAGAAGAAAACGCTCCAGGGAGACCTTATAGCAGCCTCCCGGTACCTAAAGGGGGCCTATAGGAGAGATGGGGAGGGATTCTTTATCAGGGAGTGTAGTGATAGGATGAGGGCTAGAAGTTTTAAACTGAAAGAGCTTAGATTAGATACCAGGAAGAAATTCTTTCTTTGGTTGTTCAGCCTGGAGAAGAAAACGCTCCAGGGAGACCTTATAGCAGCCTCCCGGTACCTAAAGGGGGCCTATAGGAGAGATGGGGAGGGATTCTTTATCAGGGAGTGTAGTGATAGGATGAGGGCTAGAAGTTTTAAACTGAAAGAGCTTAGATTAGATACCAGGAAGAAATTCTTTACAGTGAGGGTGGTGAGGCACTGGAACAGGTTGCCCAAAGAAGTTGTGGATGTCCCATCCCTGGACATGTTTAAGGCCAGGCTGGATGGGCTTTGAGCAACCTGGTCTGGTGGGAGGTGTCCCTGCCCATCGCAAGGGGGTTGGAACTTAATGATCTTTATGGTCCCTTCCAACTCAAACCATTCATTGATTCTATGATTCTGTTACTGTAATATGTAGAGGGTGGAGGCATCTGACAAGCTAACAGCAATGGGTGGGAGTGCACAGTGTCTCAGGCTGTGTTTAGGGGAGAGGCCAGGCTTTCCAGTGAGGGAAGAGAAAGTAATCCCACACTTCACCCTGACTTAATGAGGGACATTTGCCTGGATTGTTTTAATTGGGATTCTCCTCAGGGAGCAAAGTGCTTCGTTGTTCCAAGCAAAGCAAGTGAATGTAAGGGATTAGGTAAACCACAGTTCTCCTTCCTCATCTCCCCCCAACTACTGGGAACAGCTTCTGTTTTGGTTCACAGAGTTTTACTTTTTAAGAGGAAATATATTTCCCTTGGGTAATACCAAGCTTCCCTTGGTAATTAGAGAGCTTATGCCGCATCCTGTTTCTGCAAACCTAATAAAGTCAAATTTGCTTTTGTGTTTGAAAAGAAATGGATTTGTTGCAATGACAAATTCAGTTGCCACTGATATACTAGACGTTCTAACAGATGTTTTACAATATCAGACACTTGTTCTCTGAGTAACTGAAGCAAAGAGAAAATAGGTCTTGGTGTCATTTTTAAACTTGGGCACTAAGCTGAAGTTCTGCTTTCACAGATGGTCATGGGAGCGCTAGAGATAAGACTGAATCAAAATATTGCAGCTGACCACTTGACAGAAGCCCTCTTATTAATAGTTCTACACTACTAGCATTTTTGGAAAAAGATCAGTGGAGTGAGGACTTCTTATCCCTGCTATAAGACAAAGAACAGCAGCAGAGATTCTGCTCCAGATCGTCTTTGCCCTCATCCATTAAACACTTTAGGGCTGCAGGGACATCTTTGAGTATCCTAGGGGACAGCAATGAGATTTAATTTATCTAACAATGTGGGTTTATTTTATTTAGCATTAATAAGGTTCCGATTCAAATGTTGAATTTTTAAGGACAAAATATCTTCTTCTAGCAGTAAAGAATTGGATCATTTGATGGATTCTGTTCCTTAGAAGCACTAAGGTTTTTGTGAACTGCAACATAACATCCATTTGGTCTCTCCTTCCTTTCTATTAGGGACACTGTGTTCACTTACCATTGAGAAGGCCACACCTGAAGATGGTGGAGAATACAAATGCATAGCTGAGAACACAGCAGGAAAAGCTGAATGTGCTTGCAAAGTGCTGGTAGAAGGTAAGTACGTTGCTGGGTATGGGGAAACCCTGCCTTAGATCTCCTTTTCCCTTTTATTTCCCGATACCAGCCTTTATGAAACACATACACCAAAAAGAACTATGCCCTCTTCCCTCCTGCACTTTTTGGTCAATATGTAATTCAATGTGCAGAGAGACAGTACAGAACCAAGGGGTCCAGCTGCTTTGTGGAATAATCTATGTTCTTCTGATGTTGTTCTATGTTCTTCTATGTTCCACTGTATTTCTACAAGGATTTAGAGCAATAAGTTGAACCCATCAAGATTTTTTTCTGAGCTGTATACTTTCTTTAAGATCACGTAAGAATTCATTGTGTGAGCCTGGGTACCAGTCTGCCTCAGGACTATGTATGGCACATTTATTAGCCTAGAACTTATCAATTTGTTGCATTCAATGACATTTGGTCATTTGTTTTTTTCTAGTGGGAGTGAAAATAAAGAAATTAACAGCTCAACCACCCTTGCATGCTGTAGTCTTAGAACATGGACAATTTACTGACTGAGGTACCTGTTTTCAGCCTCAGTCATACTGATGACACTGCACTGTTGCCAAGTAGTCTTGGCCTTGGGCAAATATTTTGTCGTGAGGTTGAAAACACAGACTTTTAAAACTGCCATGGACTTTAAGTCACTTAAGAGACTTTAAGTAACCCAGTGTGCTTCTTATCAGCTTACCAGAAGGTGAGCTCATCCTTCAATACTGTGATACTTTCCATTGTAACTAAAAATAGCACAAAACTAAACAAGCCCAATAACATACATCTTTGGTACTAAGCCTTCATCACTGTGTTGCATATGTGGTATTTGGAGCAGGAAGTCTAGAAAATAAAATTATAATTTGTCTCCCTACTGTATTATTTGTTTTTCCTAATGTAGCATGGCACAAGACAAGAACATGATCCTGTAACTCTGTCAGTAAGGGTCAGTCTTCATGTAGCTGGAAAAGGAATTAATTATACATACAATTACAATTAATTATATTGCTTTCTGTAATGGCATCTTCAATGATACTATGGTCACAACATAGTCTAGCTTAGATATTTGATAAGCTATTGTTTATATTTCTGTAATTTAAAGTAAGACATTTTACCAGCACTGAAGTTCAAAGAAGATTATCAAGGAGAGGCTTTCAGCAAAATCTAGTACCCTGTAACACCTTAACTACCACAGATGCAGAGGGTTAAAGGATCAGATCAAGTGCTTGGCACACAGTAGTTTTCCAGAGCTTCCATCTTTTAAACATCTTTTAAATATCTCAGTCACCTATGTGTTTTTTTCCTTTGACTTTGTCTTCTGATCTCCTTTAACCAGTTGCTTTTCTTCCTCAAGCCTCCCTTAGCATATTTCCTACTTCCAATTTCCTGTGGGCAGTGCATGTTCCAGGAGGCAGACTTTGGCTTGCAAAGTCTTAATCCTGGGAAGCTGTCAGTTCATGACATCTCCATTGCATGATGACATGAATGGCGTTATATCAGCTGTCTGGCTCACCCTGGCAGTGGCACCCATGGTGTTAGGAGCTATCTGCTCATGTAATATTGGACACCAGAATCATCCTGATACTGGCTGCCTCTTCTGTCTCTTCCATTCCTTACTGGCGTGCTGCTTTGAACGGCTGAGAAGAGGGTTTTGAGGAATGACACTCCAACAAACTCCATCTATTTAGGAGAGATGCCATTTGATATCCCATGTGTGTGACTGGCAGAGGGGATGACTGTTATTTTTAAGTTAAAATTGTGATCTAAAACAACACTTAAAAATGCTCCCTTCTACTTGGTCTGCTGTCAGGATCCCAGATGGTGATTTTTAGATTCAACAAGTAACCATAAAGGTAATATATTCCTTTTGGCCCCATGGACTCAAATCAGATTGGAGGAATATTGCATTTCAGTTGTCAAATTAGCTCAGGGACAAATCTGTAGAATCTGAGTGTCTGAATTAAGATCTAGCACAGCCTTGTGCATTGAATTGTTTGATGGGAGATTCTGTCATCAAACATGAATCCTGTGGTGTCTGTTCTGCCATTTTTATTTAAGAATGAACCAACGTGTAGTAATATTTTCTTGGAAAGATTTAAACACACAGAGGAAATGCTACTTTTCAAAATGTGTTCATCTCTATAGATCACATAGGCAATGGAATAGAAGAATGACGTGGCAAGAGATTCTTTTGGATGAAATGATGCTTCAAATATGCCTTTGTTTCCCTCTTCCATGCACTGCCTAAAGCAGCTTTGTGCACATTGTACATTGTTCTATTAAGTTAGAAGAGACGTATCAGCTTAGATGATGGCTCTTGTCTAGTTGCTTTCTCGGGCTTTCAGTGCAGCTGCTTTCAGAGAGGGCTTCTCTCTCCCTGCTCCCTCTTCCTTTTAGAATGTGCCATTCTCCAGCAAATACAAAAGGACAGCAATTTCCTCTAATTTTGCAAAAAGATCAAAACCAAACTGATCTTAATAGGAGATCCTTAGGTTATGGATTTTTAAATAGGATTTATATTTTATTATTTATTTTGATTGCAGATGCCTCATCCACAAAGACCTCAAAGCCTACTGATAAAAAGACTGATAAAAAGAAGCCTAAGACCACACTTCCCCCTGTGCTGCCAACAGAGAGTAAGTGACAGTGATTTTGATTACTACCTTTTCATTGGAAACAAAAGAATGCTCTGGGATTCTGTGGTCATTCCCTTCTGTTTGCAGGCATAGTATCAGAGGCTCATGCCATTTCTTTAACCCTTGCACATAAGTCATGTGAAATGAGGTTTTGCCTTGTGGGTATTAGAAGTAAGTGCTGAAATTGTGAGTTCAGATTCAGCCCACTCTGTTCTCAGTTTTCCATAACGGTGCAATAAATATATGATACAGATTTGGGTTTGGCTGTCTCCCAAAGAGCACAGAAATTCTCAAGTAATTTGCTTCCAGTTTAGTTGTGTCCTCTGTAGACAACATACTCTTACCATTGGTAGGGCAGGTATGTTTCCCCTGTTTCCCCTTTTCCAGTCAGCGGGAACTTCAGACTGCCATGACTTCTCAAATATAACGGATAGTGGCTTAGCAACTTCATCCGCCATTTCCCTCAGGATCTGTGGATAAGTCTCATCGGGTCCCATGGACTTGTGCACCTTCAGGTTCCTTAGAAGGTCTCGAACCTGGTTGTCTCCTACAGTAGGCAGTTCCTCATTCTCCCAGTACCTGCCTTTGCCTTCTGTGACTTGGGTGGGGTGGTTAGAGCTCTTGCCGATGAAGACTGAGGCAAAAAACTTGTTGAGTATCTCAGCCTTAAATTTTGTTTTATGCCTAAATGCTTTACTTGCTTTTAATGCTTTCTGAAATAGCAAATCAGCTAGAAATTCCCATGTTTGCTACTTTGCATACATGCATTTGATTAAGGAAACGTAAAAAAGGTGTAAATACAACATGGTTCTAATGGAAACATGAAATATTTTATCTGTCTCTCTCAGAGGAAAAAAAAATGAAAGAAACTATAATCTGATTTTCCAGCATGGAACATTTTCAGCAGGACGCAGTGCAGTTTTGTACTGACTGATGATAACAGGCAATAATTGTGCTTCTGAACTGTTGACTTACGTAGAGCTACACCTTGGGCTACAGCAATTTCTGACTTGCTGCCTGAGCATTGTAACTTTCCCTCCAGCCAGTCATTTAGGGCTGTGGGAAGGGTCACATTGACATGCTCTGTACCTGAGCTTCAAGTGCTGTAAATAACAGCAATTAAGAACAATCATTCTGCTCTTGAACATCAATAGAAAAGGAAGTTTTAAAGCCATTTAAAGCTCCACAAAATAGTGTTTTGATCGTGTTTTCTGTGCACGCAAACACATACATCCCTGATCCTCCCAGCAATGTTATCTATTGCAGCTTTCCCAGGAGAAAGTGTGAGTTGGGAACTAAGTCTAAATATGCAGATTTGTGACCTGATCCACATCCTGCTGAAATCACTGTTTGTCTTGCCATTGATTTTAGGGGAAATTGGATATAGGGAGCAAAACAGAAGCTAGCAACTCTGGCTTCAGAAATGATTGGGAAAAGAAGGTTGAAATAACGGTGAATAGTTTTCTTAAGATTGTTCAATGGCATATTATATTTGTGTTTAAAGTTCTTGAACTTCTCATAAGCTCTTTTTTCAAAATACCTTTAAAGCATCTTTCCTGTTACACTGAAAGCACCAAGGTAACCAGACACAGTGTTAGGAAGCTGGGCTTTGGAACAGCTTTTGGAAAACTTTGGAAAAATACATATTTAATTTTAAAAGGATTTGGCTGGAGAAATTCCACAGGTGGCTTTTAACATCTCAGTCTCAGAGGATTCTGGGTATTTGCCTGCCTGAAATTAGTATTATATTTGTATGTTTGTCAGGGGCAAAATATACAAAAGTGATACATAGACTTCATAGTTTAAACTGAAACTGAAAACCCTTCCAGATGTAGAGATTTTAAAGTTCCTTACCTGAAGGAGAATGGGCTTAACAAGTCAGATATTTGTGAATCTTTACTGTATTTGTCTCAAAAAGAAGGTTAATAAAGAGTGACTGTAAAGGAAGACGTCAAATTTTAATAAGGACACAAATTCTTACTCTGGTCCCTTCTCGTCTTTGTTGCCACATACCAAGAGACCTAATGGCAAGTACAGTCTAAGGATGGTATTGGAGAAACAGAGAACAAAAATTCCTAATAATCTCTCTGAGTAAAGTTCTGAATTTTGAATAGTGAATTCAGTCACAGGAATATACACCGTATGGGGTACAGAAGCTATATACTCCCTGTGATTTTTAGAAACACGTCTCATGGAAAAAAAAGTCATATTTTCCATTTTCTGTAAGAAAGTGCAAGTCAAACTTCATGGTTAGCAGCTATGTCAACCTTTTCTCCCTTCAGAAAAATTCTAAGGGATTCTTGGTTTTTGCCCTAGTTAGATACCTACAGGAAAGTAATTAACTTTTAGTTCCTGAAAGCAAAGATCAATAAATTTCTTTTGGTGAAAGAGAATGAATGCTGTCAGTATGTTAATCTGTAGAATTTGTCTTGCTGTGAGAATAATTGCTGACCAGGATCTTTTGATTACTCATTCTGACAATGTTATTTTATTACTGGAAATTTGGAGTTTGCAAGCTATGGAAATCCAATAGTAAGTAAAATTTTGGGCATTACCTCTTTTGAAATGCAATATATACTAGAATCTGGTTTAAAATAAGCAGTTATTTTCAGAAAAACATCTATGAAGGCATCTCTGAATGGACGCTTGCAGTGTTTACTGCAGAAAGATTGCTCCCATGCTAGCAAATTACAGTTATTTTCAAAAAAACATCTATGAAGGCATCTCTGAAAGGATGCTTGCAGTGTTTACGTGCAGAAAGATTGCTCCCATGCTAGCAAATTAGGAATGTTACAATGTATTTCTTTCTGATTACAATTAATATTCTCTCACTAGAATTTAATTAGACTAGAATTCTCACTGAGAATAACAAACAGATCCAGGTTTGAATCTGAGTGAAATCAACCCTAAGGGAGAATTGAGGAAGGACACCTCTTTTTTTGATGTTACAATTGATTCATTCTTCACTGACTGTGCTGAGGCTCTGTCAGTTGTGTCTTTGCTAGGTGGATGTGAAATGCTACTGAGTTAGAATAATAAAGTGTTACGTTCCTTCTGCACGGATATAAAAGACTAGAAGAGGCAGTGGAAAATTGGAACCTTTCATTATTTATCATACTGCATACTCTGTGCTGTGCCAGAACAATCAGCGGGTAATATAAGGGTCTTCTAGTTTGGCATAACCGTGCAGCAGAAGTACAAAGCTAAAAATTCACCACTTGAACATTTCTCTAGGGAGCTTTGAAAGCATCTGCTGTAAAGGGATTTGGACACCCAAGTCCCATTGAAATGAGAAATTACTTCAAATTAGGATTAAAGGCAATTTCATATTTAAATTACCAAGGCCACCTGCAAAATCTTCAGTCCCTATTAAACAGACTGTGGAAAAAAAGTCAAAGTCCTGCTTGAGATTTTTACTAGTAAATAAGGATTTGATGGTTTATAAATAAATAAACTCTTTTTTAAAAGATCTTTTACTACTCCACACTTACTAAAATTTTGTCCTCCTTAATGTGTGTTACTCTGAGGACCAAAACAGCAGTAAATCATAGCTTGAACCATTACCCCAAGATCACACAATCATTTGTAGGTCTAGAACCCAACTTTCTTGATCCTCAATCTTACAAGCAGTTTGCATGCCACATCCAAAACACATCCCAAAAATTTACATAAAACATGAGTTTTCAAAAAGGCAGATTTTTTTTCAAAGGTTTTTGTTGGTTTTTTTTCAAGATGTGCTTGGGGAAAAGCATATTACAAGAGTTAGATGCTTAATCTTAAACTTCACCAGGGCTGAGCAGAGCAACATAACTTTACTATAGTTGGAAGAAACTTTATCCCGATCGTTGCTACTGAGAAAAGAATTGACTTTAGTGCTTTAGAAAATACCCCTCCTAAATCTAAGCATTGGATTAAAGTGTTTGGAAAGAAAGGCCCGCTGTTTTTTGTAGGGCACTACTTCCAGTAAATATTAAGAAGTGGCAACTATCACCTGTCATAGTCAGATGTATGAAAACCAAACAGGATATCCTGGATTCCCTCGTCTGAGTGATACACTTGTTAAACCCACTGCTCTCATATCAAGCCCACATACATTGAAGCGATGACCCAGAACGGTTTGATTGCACAAATAGAAGTTCTTCCTCTCAGTTAAAAATAAAGTTACATCAAAGAAAACAACTTCCTCCACACCCCTTCAAGTAAAGGGGCCCAAAATGCATTATGTAGCAGTATTTGGTATCTTGCTGATATAGATCTTTTATATCTGCTACTATGTAAAATCACATTTTTGGTTAAGTAACAGTGCATTCTCTTGTGGCCAGTTGTTAATAAAATGTCATCACTGACAGTGTCCAGATCAAATCCTCTGGAAGGCTGCACTCTTATCTTCCCAGATCTGATTTCTCAACATTATTGGTACTCGAATGCGAGGCTGAGCAGCATGTCACAAATGTAAATATGTCAGACAGGACTCCTTATCGTTTTATAATTCTTTTCCATAGTGGGTGGGATTCTAAGCATTTTAATTACCATGGAAAAATTATGAATCAGTGGCCAAGTAATTAGCATGCAGTTCTGTTATTTACTTTTCAATAAACAATCTTGTCAGAGAATTCAAGTCAACATGCACCATTTTAAGAAAATGTCAAGAAAACATTAAACTTGATGTGTTTAGTCTAGATAATATATAACTAAATCAGTAAACACTTCAAGGTTTTTCTTTATTTCTATTCTATCAATATAATAAGAAACATGGTTTGGATGAATTTTGAAATATTTTATAATATTTCAAAATCTTCCTTTTATGTCAGATTGGTTTGTCCTCAGTATAAAACTTGCCATTTTCTAAGGGAAGAGCTCAGTTATTAAGGAAGTAAATAATCAGATCAGAGAAAAAAAAAATTAATCTTATTTATTAAGAGAAGCTGAAGCATCCTTTTTTAGTCTATGTAAATAAAATTGCCATGAGCTATTTCTAATACTTAGGTATGATTTCTTTG